GTGCTGAGCACCCTGTAGCCTCGTCGGTTTAACTTGACCACATTATGAAGCATTGGATATTGCATCTAGGTCACTACCCAATGATGAGGCCCCAGCTACAACTGCGCGCCAAATGCAGCACTTGCGCGCAGGGGTACCACCTAGTGGTAACGGATTTAAAGCAGATAGATCACCCACTATGCTTCGAGCACAAAATGGTAAAGGATTGGAACAGTTTACCTGCGAAAATTGTCCAGGGGAAATCGGTGTTGCTATTCAAGCAATTTCTAGATACCCACTATGCTTACTTCAACTACAGGAAGCCCATTGCACCGGGATAGCATAGGAACCATCTGTTATTTGTATCAGACGTTCAGGAATCAGTTATCTGACTCGGAGCATATACCCGTACTAATCATATTGAAGCAACACAGAAGCACGTCTACATTTTCAGTAAGCAATATTGGCTTTGGCCAAACATTGCATCACAAGGTCAACGTTTATATATAAAATCTGTCTACATTTCACGTGCACGACGTGACTAAACCAAATTTCACGCGTTATCTACATGCGCTGGTTTATGTTATGTGCATAAAAGGTTGTAAAATGAGGTTTTCGGTGCATTGTGTTTCAAAACAACGAACCAAGTAACACCGGAAGCTAAACAGCTGTTTCATAATGTTTCTATATAAATTGGATACCAAAGGGTCAATTGGTGTTAATCAGTATGAATTGGTACCCAGGTTTTAACCATCTTAGGCCCCCCTTTGTGGTGTGACTGCGACGATCTCAATAATCCAACGACCGCAAAATTACAAACTCATAATTTTGTAGACACAATGCAATTATTCAGTTAAATTCAATTATTTATACATTAACCACTCTAAACTCTTTCTAGCTAAAATGTTAACTTTGGATTAATTTTCTTTAAGATATTATAAGAATTCCTCAAAAAACGCGTTATTCCATTGAGCAGTTATAATCGCGCGAAGTCAGTCTCAGTGAGCGCAACCAATGCAGACTTATGCAACTATTCCCAGTAAGTTGACGGAAGAATAAAAATGTTAACACTAATAGCCCTGAGCCTGTTACTATATCAGTTTAACTGTTGGCTATTTGAAACGCATAATTATCAATTGTAACGCCCTTTCACCGTTACGGTGTAGGTGTCTACGTAATTCGAGATCCAATGGCCGAATGCAGACAAAGTGCTAGTAATTCACGTTTTCCATTTAACCCCCCATACGAAGTCAACTGCTCCTCTATAGTTCAGTGAGAATAAGGTTTTAATGGGAAACGCCACATTGTAACAGTTAAGTTGGACGGGAGATGTTGATAAATATAAATCTGCAAACATTAAATCATGTGTAAAAATCGATTGCTCACAATAACACTAAATTAAAACCAAATGAACAGTAGAAAAGCATAAAATATAGCACTTACGTGAGTATGGCGTGAGAGAGTGTGGCATGTGTATTATCAAACAAAAAGCTTTTACATAATCATTACACGCTTGTTGCAATTGACAAAATGTCCAATTCCTTATTCACCCTCATTATTCATAGTTACCTACGCTTTTAAGGCTGGTTGAATTAGTTCTGCATTAATAACTCAAACGATTTAAACACTAACCTGGTTATCTAATTCATTAATGTTAGGCAGCATTGTACGTGAGCGCGAGCATAATTTACTGCATCAAATTAAAAATCTGCTGTTATACTAGTTGCACACCCTTCGGTTCATGTGGAAGCAAAGGAGTTGTGGATTACTTTGAATGCGATTCAGGATTAAAGTTAAGCGTACTAGCATCTGCAAGAAGTTTCCCTTGTCTTTCTGCAGTCTTTACATATTACAATGATTTGCTAGTGATGCTGGTGCTTAATCGGCTTTTCATTGATGCTTGGTTTAGTTATGGTCTATATCCTTAAGAAGCTTGGTGTCAATTACGTGCCGAAACAATTGAATTACGAATGCCAGTAACGCGATTAATATAGCTTTACTCATGTAGTGTGGTATTACACGTATGGTGCTGTTTCTTTTCCGCAGTCCCAAGACTCTATGCAACAAAGCAGCTGGTCTTTAAATACCTGCTTATAGATGTGAATGACCATCAGCCTGCTTACTTAGAACAAACTGGAATATTTAAGACGCTTCTGATATTACAATAAGTGTGTAAATACGTACTATCATTAAAATGTCAGTATGTAAACAAAGACAAGAAAACGGTCAAGAAAGCAAAAATGGTCATCCCGAAGTCTGTTTTCTGGCTAAGCATTTGAGATTATCATCAATGCTTAGGTCAGAAGCTCCATATAACTGGTTTAGGCGGTTTGGTAATTGTGTTCCTATAGCAGTTAATCGGAATGTTGGTCATGGCTTTTAGATGCAGCTTAAGAGCTCAGAATTAAGAATCTGCGTTCTACTTCATAAAAGTAGGTCATACAATGGACAGTTTTCCAGGAAATGAAAGAAAAGTACTGTTAAATAAAATTGATTTATACTTGACTAGTATATCCAGCAGTAAAGCACATTTATCCGCGAGACGTGGTAAAACATAGCTTTCATAAGTCTAAGTATTACATTTTTTATTAAAAGTCTATACTAAAGACTGACATGCTGATACGTAACTTAGTAGATAGCGTTAAAGCTCACCTCTAATTTGCAGCGTTTAACCCACGAGTCCGGAGGGAATTCCATCAGCATTGGAATAAGATATTGCAAGCACGCGTTCCAATGTCCGAGCAATAGCATTAACAGAACGAGGTTGAATATACCCATAAATTTGCTTGCAATGTTTAAAAACTGGTGGAGAGGGTAAAAAGAAACGGAACGTTTTATCAAAACGTCAAGCTGAACTGTCTCACATTTTAACTAGTTTATGGTCAAATGTTAAGCGAAACCAAATGATGGTCATTTATCGAAAAATATTTGAGTCTGTTTTCGTGGAAGGAACGTAAGACAACGCTTGACACCGCGGTAAAGGCATCGTTACCTCGTATTATAATCACTACAGCACCGTGGATTCATTACATTTATACAGCTTCGAAAAATCAACCGATATTTCTAATTTAACTAGTACAATGCCCAACCTGTCACTAGTTACCTTAACTTATGTTTCGTCCCTGAGGAAGTGAACTAGGCAGAAACAACAAAACCAATATTACTGTCCCATTAATCTATATCCGATTGCTTTAAAATGCGGGACAATATGGTGTTTCCTCCTCATGTTGAATCTTCTAAGTGCAACAAGCTTTAACTGCACTTCATGCGCTGATCTAGAAAACCGATGACAGCCTCGAGGGTATAGCCTGTATACATTTAAAAGAAAACCCTGCTGACAGTCTTCTCTTTCTCCTTTTGAATAAAACAAGTATTGTTACCTTTTGCTTTCATAACCTTCTCTGGAACTTACCCCGAAGCGAGAGGTTCTTTCTGATAGCTTGCATTTAGATGACTGACACGTTTCCCAATTGGCACTTGCTTTATTATCGTAGGCCGTTTTGCTTAGCTATTTTTGACCAACTCAGTTGATGAACAAGTCGACATTTTAGTTTAGAAGTATTTAGAAGTACTTTTCTATTTAATCAATGTGACGAAATATATCGCAAGTGCATAATTCTCAATGAAATGGAAACCTTTCACTAAAATTTTACGTAGTTCAGAGTGAGTAGTCTCCACCGTGCGAGACAGCGCAAATTTCCCTGTGGAGGATGTACAAAACTATTTTCCATTTTTGAAGACATGAAGTCTGCCTGTGGTGACGAACTCTCCGCGCTGACCTTAAAGTCTCTATCGAGAGTTATCTGTCCTTCCTTGATCAAAATGTTCAACAGGTCACTTTCCAACCGTGTCTCAAATACTCAGTGTAGAAGCCGATTTGAAAAGGTGGTGACCGAAGAAATATAGCCAAACTTTCTGACCTCTATTTTAGCCTGGGTGCTCGAGAAATTCTGAAGTAGCTGGTGAAAATAAGTGACCAGCAGACTCCGACAGAGCAAGGCTAAACAAATTTTCACTAATGCATCACTTACGTGCTGGTGACTCGGCATGGAATTTTGCAAGCGGAGCATAAGGGACGTTTGTCGACTTGGTCTTCACTAATCTCAGTAAGCTCTGAGACAAGGTGAATAATGAGTTCCCAAACACAGGCTGTGGATGGGCGGTGTTGTTTGTCCACAGCGCCAATGGAAAGTGACTTCCTTATTTGGCGAAGGTGTTGGGTTCCTGCAGATGATGGTCTAATTTCATGACATACCTTCAATAGTTACACCAGGCAGAATAATTTGGAGTCTTTGCGTTCCTTTTCTACTTAAACAATAAATCATATTTTGGGGTTGCCTCGTGCCATTTTGCAGACGACCCGAAGAAATGCGAAATAACAGATGTTCTTGAGGACTGTGACTTTTTACAATATGACTCCTACCGCATATACAGATGGTCTGTAGATGTCGATCTGCCTTTCAAGGCAATAAATTTGCCAGTTATATGATAGGATGGGGTGATGACGGACACCTTTAGACTCCAATCAGCCATTCGCTGCCTGTCACAGCTTCTGGGAAAGATCAACTCACGTTCTATTGTTGCGATTTTTAGTCCTTGGACAACACGAACTGGCTATACATATGAAACTGTGCGTGTTCAAGCATTCAAACGTAATTTCCGCACTTGGTCCAATTGACTTGAGAACTTTTTGCTGTCTCCCGTCATTAATTTAATTCCGGATTATGACTTACTCCTTGCGAGTTGCAGTGATTGCAGTTGTTCCGTTTGTAGGTACTGGTCTTATCCTATGTTTCGGTAATATGTCGTTAAAAGACCGGTACAAAAGACTGGTGCTGTACACTGTCGTATTGTCAACTCTGATTGGAATACAAAATGAAGCGCCATATATTCTATCTGTGTAACTTAACTAAGCTGCTGCTTCTTATTTAAATATTCATATTAAGATTAAAGTATAGGAGCTTAGGCGGATGCTTTATCCTCTATGCCTCGAGTGTCGAGTATTGAAATACTTAGCCAAAAATATTAGTCGAGGGAGAATCGGCGACTGAATAGTCAGGTACTTTGAATCGCTAAGTTTGTAGAATACAGATTTTACAGAGTGCCTTAAGCTACTAGGACGTCGAATAAATATTTTATTATGACAATAGGTGTTCCTAAATTAGATTATTCCACATGTTTGGACTATGCTATATAAATGCGGCAAGCAGATTTCTATCGTCTAGCACTTTAATTTCAGCGTTCAGTACATCTTCGTTGCAAGAACGATTTAACTGACAATATGGATCATGATTCCTTCATGTTTCTCTGCTTCATCTGAAATAATTGGCGGTAATGTTGTATTTTACAATGATTGCAACACTTACTTCATTACCTGTGGTTACATATTTGTACATATATCACAAAGTTTAAGCAACGCTGTTTGTGGATTAGAATTTCTCACACTAGCAACTGTTTGTAGGTTAAAATAACTATTGCAAAGTGGCCAGATAGCACAGGGTGCTGGATGAAAAATTTGGGTGTGAAATATTATGAACCGCAACTAGTTTGGAGAATCGTTGGGTTTTGTTGACTACTTTAATACTTTTCATTAAACCTTTATCAATGAAATGTATTACAAGAGATTATTCTTTTCTATCCTAAGCCATTTACCATTCTCTGTGAATACCTTTATTGATGTACAATTTGTGGCAATATGTTTGCAAGCCAGGCGATTTCAATGTAATCCATCTATTTCTTCGATTCGCATCACTGTCATTCATCGATGACGTATACTGTGTCGATCAATCACACGTAATGTGCAGTATAGCGTTTTCATAGGTTTAAAGGCAAAACATCACGATATGAACCTATAAGGTGTTACGTGGAGAGCAATTTGTCTACACAGAATACTCTGACTTACTTCTTCCCACTGGCTGACGTATCGGACCAGCCGTGTTAGGCGGAGCAAGCGAAGCATGCTTAGCAGCTTGGCTAATCTCAAAATCCGAAGTGTTCTACCTATAGCATAAGTGTAAATGAAATCATTAATTTAACCAACCCACGCGTCATAATCTGTGTCTGAATACCTACTCAGAGGTTAGAATTGCAAATAGAGTATGGCTGCGAATATACTAATACAAACAAGCCATTTCTAATAATGTGAGTGGGTAGCAAGCGTTTCACTAAATGTTTTAGCGGCAACCAAGCTAAATTTAAACGTTCGTTGGAAGAACTGCATCCTAAAACAACCCTGAGTTGTGAGATATACAAAAAACACATGCAGAAATGCGTCCATAGAGGTGGCGGCCACAGTATGTTAGATGGTCCATGTGAAGTGTGGATTGCTTACGTTTACTCATATCCGGCCACTGTAATATCTAGCAAAAACCATATAATACTTATCAATGCAGACGTTACATCAACCAACCAAACACTTCCCAATCGTGTCCCAGTTTTACTAATGAGTAGGGCATTCTGCTGTATCTCTATCGAGAGTTCGTCAAATACCTTCAGACTCAGGTAGACTACGGCGTTCACGGAGAAGCGCAAGACAACTGTTTCGTTCTACTGACGCCCATCATTTATGTGCAGCAATAGGCTTCATCAATAGCCTATTCAAAGACCTCGGGTCACTAGCGGTTTACAAAACTAGTCGTCAAAACAAGCCAACAGGCTAGGCGCTACAAGTTATACGTGACTTTACACTATTTGCTTGCACAAATTCTACATTACCGACAGCTTGCTATAGCGTCCAGTAACGACCATCACCGATGTGTCATTTGTTCTTTTTGGCATCTTTATCAGTATATATCTGTGGCAATAAACCATGAGGACCTACCTGCCATGCCCTCAGAACTGCGTCAATGCACCTGTTTTAAAAGAACTCAGTATTGCAAGGCTACGGGTTTTAATGAGTCGGTACCAATGCGGTATCCTTTATTTTCGAACAATTGCGCACCGATCGGCTGTGCGTTACGAATAAATGATAGAAGATTTCTTGGCCAAAAGAACACGGTTTATTTCTGCGCATTTTCGTCGGACATAAATTGCACACCTTAAACTGTTTGTCTCACATAAAGTGTGCCTGGTTTAAAAGTTTTTGAATTTCATACTGTTTCCCGGTGATTGAAAGTGCGCAATAGAATCTTCCACTAAAGGAAATCAAATGTGTCTCAACATTGCTCTATATCTTCTAGAAACATTTGATTGTTTTTATTGCACCCGGCTCCTTTCCATCTGCGCGTTGAGATATTATTTTTCTTTCTTATCTAAGTAGCTTACATTCCCAAATGTGTTCTTCTAAATGCCACTGACGTCAATCAGACTACATTGTGAGTCCCAAAAAACGTTAATCAAAACATATCTGAAAAATTCAAGTGAGAAAAGAAGCACACATGTAATATGCTGATAGTTAAGTTCTGTTTTCATTGCTGCAATCATTTTGAAGAATTACTTCATAAATCGTCACTTTTCACTCAGACTTCCTAATGCACTTTGAGACACGAAGTCTTCGGTTTCTAAATTGCTAGATCTTCAGACAAGTTTGACTGAATAGATGCAGGAGATCAGGTTTTACTGTGAATGATTGAATAGAACACGCAAACCAAATGTGTACAAGTTACTCCTTCACACAGCAAAATAAAATTAACTAGCTTACCTGCACTGAGGAATTGGTTGTAGTGGTCCTTTTTGTTAAAGATAAGGTAAATGTAATCCATGGGTATAGAACTGATGAAGTCCAAAATGAACCAAGATTTCAAGTAGTGCCTGGCAATTTCTTTGGGGTTTAAGATGATCTCATCGGCGTAGTCGTTAGCAACAATGCCTAGATACGAATTTAAAAGACAAACTTTTCAACACGAACGAATACAACATGTCACAATTTATACATTAGAACATTAACGTATATTTCGTAAATTATGCCCATTCTGATGTTAAAAGAAAATTTCGAAGTAATATCTTTTCTATAAATCTCTTCAGGCAACTACAAGTATGGGCTTCCTAATCATTTGTGCAGTGGCTATTGCTGGCGATGCGGCACAAAAGTCGTGAATGCTTCGAACGGATGAACGGTGGCAAACTGTCTATTTGAACCCGCTACCATTGACCACACTATGTCAGAAGTCAGGCGACCAAGCTAGGGCCACGGTAGGGTTAAACTTTGCATAAATGTACGCTGTTTTCACAGTTTTGGCTTCAGTTGATTGGTGGCAATCATTTCCGCTGTGGCCAGTATGCTTTTCCTGAGTCCTTTTGTGCTGCTTTTTGTTGCTCCATACACTATTTTGAAAGACTTTCGTTTATATGTTAGGTTTACTATTTTCTAGGTGCTCTAAGATGGAGCTGTGGACATTTCTAGTGGTACCAAGGTGTAACGAGGCAGGGCGGTGTTCTGCTAGCCGCTTTGACAGGGGTCTGGTCGTGTGTCTGAGGTATCTCGCACCACAAATGCAAGGGAACTGACATAGGACAAAGGATTCTGACTGGGTCGGAATTCTGTCTTTTAAGCGGTTGGTGATGAGCGTAACGGTTTCAGCGTGAATGCCGTATCTGGTGGCCGGGTACGTTAGGTTTAGTGCGGAAATCAATTTCCTAATTAAGAATTCGAAGTGTATATCTCCTTTGAAATCACTGAGAGGAAAACATGTTTTCTTCTCACGGTCATTTTCGACTCAGGCTCAGCTTGGATTTGGGAATGCTTTTTGAGGAAAGCAGTCGGATACCCGTTGCTTTCCAATGTTTTGAGTACGGAATTCTTTGCCGCTTCCAGTGGGTCAGGGCTGCAAATCCTTGAAGCCAGATAATACAGGCAACGTACCAAACTTCCTTAGTACTTTATCGATACGAAATTGTGGAAGTGCGCGTACTGGCCTACCCAGGTTGGCTTCCGGAAAACCTTTCTCTCAAGCGATCCGACGTCCGTCGTCGTAGCAACACATCCAGAAAAGGTAGCTTACTGTCCACTTCAGTCTCCCAGGTAAATTTCAACAATGGGTGCGGGTTGTTAAAATGATTCAATAGGAAAACGAGATCAGTATGAGAGTCGCAAACAATAAAATTATAATTCATATGTCATTTGTACAAAGCAAGGGATACGATTAGGTGTCTGATAGGTCCGCGTTCAATTGTTGTGAGAAAATTTCTACAAGCAACGGTCCTAGGGACGATCCCATTGCAACTCCGTCTATTTGTTTATAGTATTTTCCATTAAACAGAAACTGTCTGTTGAACGTGCATCGTAGAATCAGCTCTTTTACATTAATAGCCGGGATCGGAAGAGCAATGTTGTTTTCTCTTAGGTATTCATAGATGAAATTGACCGTTTCTAATAATGGAACATTTGTAAAGAAAGATTCTACATCAAAGGAGAGAAACAATTTTCCTTTCGATTTAGGTTTTGTATATGATAAAGAAATGCAAATGTGTCATTCAAAATGTAACTGGGCTATTCTTTAAGTACTGTTTCAACAAGTTATAAAAGCCACTTGGCGACTGAGTGTGTAGCAGATCCAGACATATCAATCACTGTTCGTAGTGGTGTGTAAGGTTTGTTGATCTTTGGCACAACTTAATGATGAGGTGGATGCGAGCCACAAGGTGTTAACCTCTCAAATAAGGAGCTATCGATGTAGTTATCGCATTTTACTTCTTTCATTGACTTGCTTATTGTAATCTCGTCCTGTGGTGTGTTGTCCTTTTGTACTGCATCAAGCACGAATTTGCTGGGGTTTTACAAGATCGTGGGCATCTTGAACACGTAGACACACTTGTCCATTATTACCAAACCTGATCCCTTTTCTGACCTGGGGAGTATGATCTCTGGATTGGATGTTAATATTTTTTATTGCTTTTAAGTATACTTTTTAAATTGTCTTCGGTCTGAGCTGTGTATGCTTACAGTAAAAGACAAGCTAGCTAGATTTATTACCTTTCATAATTAGGTAAGAAATTTTTTATTATGTCAAACAGGGTCGTCATTATTGGTAAAACATCAAAAAAAGCTTGAAATTGGGCATTTTATTTTCACTCGTATCAAACAATTGATACCGGATTTATTTTTTAGTTTCTATGTTGCTGCCATTTGTTTGTTGATGAAAATGCTCCCGACAGTGGTATACTTGTAGTGCCTTTCCATTTCTCTGTGAACCAAACTTCTTTAGATCGGGGTTCCCTGCAGATGCAAGCAGTTTTGATTGCGCCTTAGAAACTGACTTGCTAACAAAACTATACAATTCGTGAATTCTTGCTCACTAGTTTCAAATTTTGGAATAAGTGTATTTCAATCTAGGACCTATGCGTTATGCAAAATGCATAATATAAGACTGCGTAACTCATTTATGTTCTTGTTAGCACTTGGCTTTAGGTTAACGCAGTACCCTTTAGATAACATTTGTAGCCAGTATTAACGCCTTACCACCTGGAAGCAACACGTTGACAAGTAACTCAATCACACGGAGCTGATCCAAATCGGCAAATTAGGTACATTTGACAAAGTGGTCACTGCACATTTCGACAATGATCTGCTACACGGAGAGATATTCATAATTCAGTGATGTTTTCTCCATCCAGCACTGTTCCGTTTCAGTATCAGCTGCAATATATGTGTGCCTCTTAAGACAAGTTGCCAGTTGAAAATCCTTTTCTGCTACTCTGCTCTTCATACAACTGACGTGTTTTTTTCGAAGTGTAGGCAAGAAAACGGATGTTATCATCAACCTACTCAGTATCAATTGTTTTCACTCAACGTTTGTGGTAAGATGTTTTATGGGAAGAACGAAAATCACTGCCACTTGGCCCAGCCTCAGTGGCAAATCCGCTTGCTATCAGCTTAGCTTATAACCTTTCATAGACTGACACATGATGAATCTGCTCCAGGCTATGTGCTTCCAGTTTGGAAAAAATATTTGGCGGATTAACTTGTGGATTTGAGCAAAATGTTTGCTTGCTTGACTCGACAGAATGAAGACGAGCTGGTGATAACATTTAAGTTGAAATTATTCAGTCAGAAAATAATTGCAAATGATTCGTTTTATGGGAAATAGTCGAGGGTGAACTCGGGAATACAGCACAATAAATTACATGATGGAAAACTCGCACTACATTAAAGCTTACTTTACTGCCAACTAACATGCACCTGGACAATTAGCAGTGCACCCATTTCTCCAGTTGGACGAAAGTCACTGAATACCGGCCGATAAAAATCGATCGCTTTGCTGTAGACATTTTACTTTCTGGATAGCATGATTAATGAATATTGTCCTTTAGACCGAGATAATGCGATCAATAAATAACTACCACGAAAACATAAGTATGAAGAGTTCATTAATTTCAGACAAACTTACCAGTGCGAAATTTGACTGCGATATCCGCAACAAATATTACGTCGGAAATACTGTTGAACACAATCCAGTGTACGCTCAAATCGTCGTTGAAAAATGCGATTGCTACTGGTAGAATTATTAAATTGGCAATCAGCAGCACCAACATGAGAAGATCCCAGTAAAACCTATGTTGATTGAAAGAGTATTGGGAGATTGTATGCATTATGTTGCATGCGGTGCGATGTTGAAGTTTGACAAAAGTCGAATTAATAAAAAATAAAAAGGTGAAACGTTTGCATG